TAAATAAAATAAACCCATGAAAAAATTATCTAAATTTTAATTTTATCAACAGAGAAAAATAAATTAAAACCACAATGAGATACCCTTATATAATTCACGAGAATGGCTAAAATTGAGAAATCTGACAACTCCAAAAGTTGGTGAACTTTGATTCAAGTAGAATTCATAGACTATCGGTATAAAAGAGCAACTAATTTTGGAAAAAGGTTTTGAACAAAATTAAACACACATGTAACCTGTGATCAGAAAGGTCATCACAAAAGCAATGAAAGGAAAATATGTCTTCACAAAAATATGTGTTTAATAATGTTCATATCAACTTTATTTATAATAGCCAAAAATCTAGAAATAGCTAAATCCAGAATATTTGGAAAAGTTATCCGTCAGTAAGATAAAAGATAAACACATTGTGGGTATATTCAATGGAATACTTCTCAGCAATAAAAAGGAACAAATTACTGATACACATATGGGCATGAATCAACCTCCAAAACTTTATGCTGAATCATGGATGAAGCATACCAACTGAATGGTTTTCTTTTTATGCAAAACTTTATATAGTAACATTTAAAAATTTTTCTAATGTTTATGACCTTTATTTAATTTTATTGCCATGTTGCAAGAACTGGAACCTTTAGTACAATTTCAGATATAACTTATGAGATAGGCATTTTTTGCCTTACTATCAAACTTATAATAAAAGCATTCAATCTTTTACCATTAAGTATGATGTTACCTGAGAGTTATGTTTTGTTTTTTAAATCAATTTGAAGAAAGCTTCCTCCATGGCTTGCTTAGTGAGAGTCTTTACCATGAATGGGTGTCAAATTTTGTCAAATGCTTTTTCTGCATTATTGAGATAATCGTGTAATTTTTGTCTAGTCCATTAATATGATAAATTTAAGTTGATAAATGTTAAACTGGCATCATATTTCTTGAGTAAACTCTACTTGGTCATTATCCCTTTATACCTTGCTGGATTCAATTGGCTATGATTTTGCTAAGTAGCAACTATTTGTGAGGAATATTGATTTAGAACTTTTAAATAATAGCTTTATTGTTTTCTCTATGTTTTGATAGTGTTTGTATAAAACTGGTGATACTTAGTTTTAAAATGTTTACTAGAATTCAACATCGAATGTGTCTGAGCTTGAAGCTTTCTTTTTGGTAAAAATTTTGATAAAAAATTAATTTTTGTAAATAGATATATGGATACTCAGATCTCCTGTTTTATGTTGTAACCATTTTGGTGGGTTGTATTTTTTCAGATAACTTGTCTTTTTCATTTAGGTTGTCAAGTATGTTAGTATAAAAATTTTGTACTACTCTCTTATTTTTCCTTTAATTTCTATAGAATATGTACTGATAGTTCCTGTTTCATTCTTTATATTGGTAATGTGCCTTCTGTCTTTTTATCTTGTATATTTATCTTGTCAATCTTTTCAAATAATCAAATTTCAGATTTGTTATTTTTTCTAGCTTCTTATGTTGGACTCATAGGTTATTGATTTTAGACATACTGTCTTTACTAATAGAAACATTTCCAGTTAAACAACTCCAAACACTAACTTAATCCATCAATTTTTGATAAACTATATTTTTGTTTCCTTAAATTCAAAATGTTTTATAATTTTCCCCTAATTACTTCCTTGAACAATTGATTGTTTGGAAGTGTTTTCTTTAAGTTTTAAATACTTGGCATTATTTTAGATAATTTTCATTATTCATTTTGCATTTAATTTCATTGTGGCCGGTAAACATACTGTACAAATTCAATTTCTTTAAATTTATTGAGACTTGCTTTATGGTTCTGCATATGTTTCTGTCACAACAAATATACCATGTACACTTGAAAACAAGAATGATCCTGCAATTCTAGGGTATAGGGAGCTATAAGTATCAACTAGGTCAAAGTGGTTAACAGCTTTGTTCATATCCCGTATGTGTATTTTGATTTTTTTGTTGTTATTTTTCTATTAACTGCTGGAATCTCCTTCTATGATTTTTGACATGCTTATTTCTCCTTTTCATTCTTTCAATTTTATCTTTATAAATTTCAAATCTCTGTTATGTTTTTACACACATATGGTTATTCTCTGCTTGATGAACTGACCATTTTGTCATTGTGATGTAGCCCCCTTTTTCTCTGGTAATATTATGTATCTTAAAGCTTATATGGTCCTATATTATTTTGGACCAATCATCCATCTTAAGTTTATTTTCATAGTATATCTTTTGCCAGGTACCTACTCTAGACCTATTTGCCTTTATATTTAAAATGCATCTCTTGTTGACAGTGTTTGTTTATGCTTTTTAATCTCTTCTAATAATCTCCACCTTTTAATTGAAGTGCTCATTCTCTTTGACTTCTGTTATTGTCCGAGAGGCCACTAGAGCTTTCTAATTTTCTTTCTTTTTTTCTCTGCATTCTTCAGGTTGAATGTTTTCTATTAATTTATTTTTCTATTCAGGAATTATTTCCTATGTTATCTTCATTATGTTATTAATCCCATCTAGCTAATATTTCTTTTATCTTTTGTGTTTTGCAATTCTAGAATTTCTATTTTTAATATAGTTTATATTTCTCTACAGAGGTTTCTTCATTATTAGCATTTCTCTTTTACCTCAATAAGCATAGTTACAAGAAGTTCTTAAAACTTCTTGCCTTGTAATTCTAAAATTTGAGTTATCTCATAATAGTCTTCATTGTCTTTCCTCATGAAACAAATCAGATTTTGGGATTTTTCACGTTTTCCTGGATCTTCATATGTCAAATAATTTTGGGTTGTATCATAGATATTTTGATGATCTATTATGAAGTCTATGGATTCTGTTATACTATGTATTTCTTCAGAGTACTTTTGTTCTTGTCTTACTGGGCAATTAACTTTTTAGGAATCAAACTATAAACTTTATTTTATAGGTGGGAGCTCAGATCATGGTTCATTTTTAAAAATCTTTACCTGGAATGTTTTAAATCTGTTCTAGGCATGCATGGCTTATTGGTCAGATAATTGGGAAGATTTACACACAAAATTTGAAATTCCAGCTCTCTACAACTCTTCTTTCTGGGATTATCCTCATCATTTTCCTTTGATAAATTGATTTATCTAAATCTTCAGGTCAGAAAAATTACAGATTTTCTATTGGTATTTTTATGGCATTTTAATAGTGCATGCCATAAAAACCATCAGCTCATTTCTTGCAATCCATTCTTTCAACTTTCAAATTCCCTCCAGAATCTGCCTAATTTTTTTTTATTCCCATGCATTCAAATAATGTTTTAAGAAATATTTTACTTAGAGTTTCACATGTTACCTTCAGTGGGGTCAAGTAAGATAGGAGCTTATTCAGGTTTATCAGTATAACTATTATCTCATGTATTCTTAAACTGTTAAACAAGAGTTTTGACCATATTCTAATACCATATTATACAATTCGGCAGAAGATTGATGTTTCCATGAACTGAGAAGATCTGCAACACTTGGGTTATGCATTAAATGGGCTCAGCTTTCTTTTGCCTTTGTTGTTGTTGCTTGGGATTCCTTTTCTAGAGATTTTATCTCTTCTACAATCCTGGACAACAGGAAAACTGGCACCCATCACCATTTGGATTCTTCATAGCTCTGATAACATAATGCCAACATGATTTGAGCTGTGTTTCAAAACGTAGTTTAAAAAAAAAAAAATCATGAGAAAAGCCCTGAAATGGTGCCCCTTGACTACGTGTGATTAAGTAAAATAATTTTGTGACAACTAAAATTCTTTACTTTTTTCCTTATTAATTACAGTTATAGTCTGGCCTTTTATGCTATTAGACAAAAGAACTTTGAGCAAGTCAAAAATGTTAAATCAACAAGTTTTGACTTTATTGATAAGTATATACGTTTTTCTTTTAAGATCGAGGCCAACTTTCTCTCCTTGTGAGAAATATTTTGTTATTAATGTTTACCTACTTAATCTACCCACTGTATTCATCTGTTAGCTATACTCTTAGAAAGATAAAAGAAATACAAAAATAATAATGAAAAATAAATCTTTGACACAAAATTCCCTTAGCCTATTCTTATTGAAATATGTTTTTGAATAAATTTTCCTTCAAAATTTAAGGTAATGACTTTACCGAACTTTGTAGTGGTAAATAATAATAAACCAAAAAAATAAAAAATCTTTACTTACTAGCAAGCCTGTTGTCAAAATTGTTCCATAATACCAGCAAGGTTTTAGGGGAAAATTTATTCCCAATGTGGGCTAGTATTTTCCACAGGAAACAGTGGTTCAAGACTCATACTAATTTTGTCCATGGGAATTTAAAACAAGACACATTTTCGTGGTTTAGGTTACACATAGTCATTTGGAAGCCAAAACCCGACTTTAATATCCCCCAAAGAACCATGATTTGAAAGGATTCTTTTTCTCAGGGTAGATACAGTTGTAAAAAAAAGTATTACTTTTTTAAAAGTGAACATTCTAATTAAAATGAACACCAGCACATCAAGCTCCTTTAGAATTGTTCTAAAGGGAAATATTCTGTTCTAATTAATCTTTCATATAAATTCTTTTATTGCTGCTCTTTGATTCAACTGAGCATTTATATAATTTTGGAATAATAAATACCCATGATAAATGAGAGTCATTATACATTATTTTTTTAAGAAGTTGAAAGTCTTTGAATAGTACATTTTAAAAATGTAGGTTTTTAAAACAATTCCAAGCTTTTATGTTTTTGGAATCCTGTCCATAATTTTCTTGACAATTATAATAAAAATATCATTAATATTTCACTTTAATGATATAGTGCTCTGGAATAAAATTATAATAGAACAAAATTTCTTCTGAAGAGCTGTACCACACCCCATAATCATGCTAAATGAATTCATTATGATTAGTTTTATGAGCCTCAGACACAAAATTAGAGTTTGGGTCATTCTAGAAAAGGAAATCATTTTTATTATTTTAAAAATGATATATTAAAATTTTTCTTCTATTGTTCCTTATAGGTCAATTTGGAAAATCCTGGTTTGTTATCACAGTGCTGCTTATTAACATATTTTCTAGTTCCTTCTTGAATGAAGTTTGAGAATTAATCTTGTAAGTGATTTCTTACTGTGTTCTGCTATTCTAATGAAACTCCCAAATTCAGATGTCTCTGATTTCAGTTCTATTCCCACATCATACTTTACTTCTCTTGGTACCTACTATTGTAATGAATAGCAAGGGTCTCCTTTACTGAGAAGTTAAAAGACAATTAACTATAGATAAATATTCACAGAAACCTAAATAATATGCCAGCAGGTATAGAATTGCTTGCCTATATCCAAGGCAATTATCTGTTTCAGTGGAGATCAATAACTATCACCCCACCATCCCTACTGAAGAGAGGAGAATGTTCCAGCCTTACCAAAACTGAGAATAAAGTAAGATGGTAATGGTGGAGGTAACAGAAGGGAACCACAGATAAAGAAATTGAAAGAAGACTGGTTGATAGCATCATTATAAAATTTTGCCATCTATATGCCTCTGGCAGTTGCCTGGATTTTCACATTCACCTTCTGGCACTGGCAGAAGAGAGTATTTATATATTTTTACTTTATTGTTTTTAGTTATTTTGTGCCAGATTGGCTTTTTCTTCCATTGAGTCTGAGTTTATTTACAGAGTTGTCTAAAATATATTCTGAGTTTCCAAAACCTTTGCTTTGACTCAGAAACATTGACTGAGTGCCTGCTGTTGCCAGGCATATTGGCTGGCAAGAGGAGGAAGTCAAACATATAGTTGAGTACTTATGCGACAGGCACTATTCTAAGTGTCTTGTAAAGATACTTTCCTAGGAGTAGTATAATTGTTAGCATCTCTCTTTACTAGATGAGAAAGCTGAGGCACAGAATACCAAAAGTCACATGGTGTTAAGTGGATTTGGGCCCATGTACTCTCCTTGAAACAGGTGTACTGAACCTACTTACACTGTGGTGTAGCTCACAGATAAGATGCAGTCCATGCAGCTAAAAACCTCCCAAGTCCATCTCCCAAGATGCAATCCTTGCAGCTAAAAACCTCCCTCAGACATGGGAGGTTTTTAACTGCAATAATTGCTTTGCTCATATATTGAGCAAAGTACATTTCTTATATGTGCTTAAAAGGCTCAGTATGTGCCATAAAGGCTAAAATATTTAATTCCGAGTGAGGGTTTCGCCTGTGTGATCCCATAGCACCTACATGTCACTTGCTCCATCTGTATTCCCCAGAGAACTGTAAGCTCCTTGAGGGCGGGAGTTCTATCATGCATGCAATTATACTTCTATAGCGCCTGTGCAATGAATAAGTATTCCAATATCTATCTGGAGTTAGACTTGGCATCCAATCACTTTTTCTAGTTTAATGACTTGCTAATGGACATGCTACTGAATCTCTTGTGCTCTCTAAAATGAGAAAAGTACTATTTTTTTAAAATGAGGGCAATGTAAATCTACCTCTGATTTGTAGTGAACAGTAAACAAGATGAGATATGTAGAAAGCATGTCACATATATAATGTTCAATAAAATGTTCAATGCAACGTTCCGTAAAAAAACCATTGGTTACCTCTTTTGCAACATTTATTCAACAAATACTTATTTACTGAATAATCCCCCACAATATTTATTTTTCACATGGTCTCCCAAGAGAGCTAGTATGCACGATAGTGACATTTTATTTCTCTTTTGTTTTTCTCTTTTCCAGTTATGGGAGGAGGTCTGTTTCAAGGAGGGCAGGTCTATTCAAACCTACACCAAAGTTTGAGGAAGCTAAGAGGCTGAAGAAAGAGGCAGACAAACCCAGCTTCTTAGGAGAAAACACTTAACAGAGACTTACAAACAAGAGCTATATTTGTGTCTCCAGCAGTGGTGAGACAAGATGGTGGATCCGCATGCCATTACCCCCCAGAACCAGGACTTATCTAACACACGGAAGGGGTTGTTCAGAAGGGATATATAGGACAACTGAAGTATGATAACTTCAAGATTGTTTGACCTAAGAACGGGATTTATGGTAAGTATCTAGTATTACACAAGGAACCACAGATAAACTGGAAATCCTAGAGGCCCTCCCAGAAATGGGGTTAATCAGAAGCCAACATGGTGGATTAGCATCCAAAGTAGACTTGCTTTAGCCTCTACAGAGTCTCAAAAACAATGAAATTCCCTTCAACTTTTGCAATCCCTTTACACATATGAAGAGATATTAAGCCAGGAGTATCTCCCATGCGTTACACAGACATAAAGCCCTAGCAAAAGCCCAGCTGCTCTACCCTTCCATATGTGTCCTGGGCTCTGCAGCATGACGATCATTGCCTGGTCTTCTCTCTAATTTCTCGTTTTGTTCTGATTCCCAGTCTTAGGAATATCTAGACCTTGACAAAGATTTATATATATTTCATGTGCTTCACCTAAGGTCGTTTGCATTCTGTGTCACACATGGTTTCATAGGAGGTCACAGCCCTAAAAACAATAACCACTGATGGGGTTCAGGACACACTACACTAAAATATGCCACCTTGGCTTTGGAGCAAACAGCAGAAACAAGAAGATCACTCTCATCTTCCCCTTGCCCTTCTCCCCTTGTTAGAGTAGGTAATAGGCAGATATGAACAAGGCAAGAAAGGGCCCCCCTTCACAACCAGGAATGTCAGGCAACCATCAGGTAATGGTCAGGTGGTTGTTACACTGTCTCTAAAATAAAAGTTGGTCACAGCTGACACTAAGGAAAGGCAGTCTCTAAATAGATTGAAAAAACCTGAAACCAGTGATCAGCAGCTTTCTGATAAGATCTCAGGAGTTGGGCAAGTGGGCTCAAGCAGGCACACTAAGAGGCAAAAGTGTAGGGTTTAACTGGTACATGAACTTTTAGGGACATTCAACTGGTAAGGGAAGAACGCCTCAAGTGAGCATGTGCACAACTCCAGTGAACACACCATGCATGCAGTACCTCCCAAGTGCTGGCAGGCCACTGTGCATGCAGACAGCTCACCTCAAGGAAAGAATCTGGGAAGATGTAACACAAGACCCTGGATGCATCCCACATATAAAACCCCAAGCCAAAGGTCAAACTAGGCACTTGACTCTCTCAAGTCACCCACTTGGCCCTCTTCCAAGTGTACTTTACTTCCTTTTGAGAGGTGAAGCCAGCTGGGCTTCTGGGTTGGGTGGGGACTTGGAGAACTTTTGTGTCTAACTAAAGGATTGTAAATGCACCAATCACCACTCTGTAAAAACACACCAATCACTGCTCTGTGTCTAGCTAAAGGATTATAACTGCACCAATCAGTGCTCTGTGTCTAGCTAAATGATTGTAAACGCACCAATCAGCACTCTGTAAAGTGGACCAATCAGCACTCTGTAAAATGGACCAATCAGCAGGATGTGGGTGGGGCCAAATATGGGACTAAAAGCTGGACACCCAAGCGGCAGCGGCAATCTGTTTGGGTCCCCTTCCATGCCATGGAAGCTTTGTTCTTTTGCTCTTCACAATAAATCGCTGCTGTTCACTTTTTGGGTTCACACTACCTTTATGAGCTGTAGCACTCACCGCAAGGGTCTGCAGCTTCACTCCTGAAATCAGGGCGAGCACAAACCCACTGGAAGGAAGAAACTCTGGACACATCTGAACATCTGAAAGAAAAAACTCTGGACACACCATCTTTAAGAACTGTAATACTGCAAGGGTTCACGGCTTCATTCTTGAAGTCAGGAGACCAAGAACCCACTGGAAGGAATAAATTCTGGACACACTTTCATTCTTGCCCTGAAACTTTTTAATAAACTTTCATTCCTGCTCTAAAACTTGCCTCAGTCTCTCACTCTGCCTTATGTCCCATTGATCAAATTATTTCTTCTGAGGAGGCAAGAACTGAGGTTGCTGCAGAATGGTACAGATTTGCTGCTGCTAACACCCTGAAGCAGGTCATAAAACCTTCATTCTAGAGGTGCCCCTGTACCCAATGAAAAGAAGTATTCTTATCCTTGAAGACACAGAGGTGCCAAGAAGAATCTGAAAAACAGACATTGTTGAAGTTCCCGTTTATTACCATTAGATCATACCTCCTTTGTCCAATCATACTTCCCATAACTGTCACTTGTCATCAACCATAGCATAAAAATACCCAGGTTTCCCTGTTTCTTTGGGTCTTTATTTCCTAGTGACAGCTATTGTGTCACCTAAAATTTACAGTAGATAAATTTGTATACTTTTCCTTGTTAATCTGCCATTTGTTATAGGGGGCTCAGCGTGAACCTTGTGGGGTGAGAAAAAGATAGTACTTCTTTTCTCCCTCTACTCCATTTACTGTGACCTTATTATGTGGTAGGTCCTATGCTAGGCATTTTAAATATAGTATTTAATTTAATCATTATAACACACATGTGTTAGTTACTACTATCATTTCTGCTTTAGAGGAAATATAGAGGAAACTAAATTGCAGAGCTTGTCCAAGGTCAAAATGCTACTAAGTCGGGGAGCATCTATTTTCCCTAAGTCTACCATATGGTCCTTTATCATCATTGCTGAAGATGAGGACATTATCTTCTTTCTACAAGTGTTTAGATGATAGAAAATGGGTCAGTTGAGAAGATGCATTTTGGAGAAATAGAAAGGAAACATAATGAAACCTTTATAAAGTGGTCAAGATGTTTGGTTGGCTCATATAAATCAATATACAAAAGAAAGGATCAGTAGCTTTAGAAATAAATAATTAACAAAAATGGGTTTTGGTGTTCTCCTTTTAACTCCAAATGAGACCAGTTGTAATATTTATAGATAACCTGACCCTAAATAACCTCATCAAAATGCTCAGGAAAAAGGAAATCTTTCTATCTCTTAAAAAGAAAAGAGGGAGTTAAATTTAATTTAAAAATGAAATTCAAGAAATTCCATGACAAAGAGTATAATTTCTGGAATAAAGCAAAATATAGAATCATTGTCAATTGTGTTGTTTATTTTTAATAACAATTTTAAAACTTTTAGATTTACAGCATTTTTGCAAAGCTAGTATAATTTCTATATGTCACACCTAGTTTTCCTACTACTTACATCTTATACTAGTATAGTGTATTTGTCATAATTAATGAACGAATATCGGTAATTGTTCTTGAACTCCACACTTTATTTAGATCATCCCAGTTTTTTTCCTTAATGTCCCTCTTCTGGTCCAGGATCCCATCCAAGATACCACATTATGTTATTTGTCATGTCTTCTGAGGCTCCTCTTGGTTGTGACCAGTTTCTGAGATTTTCATTATTTTTGATGATCTAGACAGTTTTGAAGAGTACTAATATTTTACACAATGTCCCTTAATTATATTTGTCTATTTTTTTTCTTATGGTTAGATAATAGTTTTATTTTTAAGTATGCCAAATAAAGTAGTTGCCAAAAATAAATAAAGTCTGTGATATCAAAAAGTCCCAAACCACCAGGAAATGGAATGAGTTCTGGGTTAAAGAGAAAAGGATTTGACCTTTTTTAGTACTTAATTCTCTAAAGCTATCAGCTTAATGTAATGGACTGAGGGCCATTGCTGTTTAAAATGCTTGGACTTAACAGTTAGCTCATGGAGAGAGAGGAAATAGTGGGGATATTTATAGGAACGTAAGGCTGTATAAAGAGGTTGATTTGGGGTTAAAGAGTACAAAGTGACGAGTGATATGGTCTGAATGTTTGTCCCCTCGAAATTCATGTGTTGAAACTTAATTTCCCAATTGATAGTATTTGGAAGTGGGGCTTTTGGGAAATTATTAGGTCATGAGGGCTCTGCCCACATAGATGGGATTAAAGAGGCCACAGGGAGAAAGATAGCCCCTTCCACTATGTGAGGTTCCAGCAAGTAGGCATCATCTATGAACCAGGAAACAGGCAGTCAACAGACACTAAATTTGTTAGTGCCTTTAGCCTACAGAATTGTGAGAAACAAATTTCTTTTGCTTAGAAGCTACCCAGTTTATGGTATTTTGGAATAACATCCCGAATTGCCGAATAGACTAAGACACAGAGTATGTAGACAGTGAAGAGATACTTGCAATCAGAGATAGCATTGTGATTTCACAGTGGTTTTTGAGACAGGGTTTTAGACAAAATGAGGATTTTTATCTGCAGAATTCAGCCCTCAGAAGCGAAATTCAGGGCCAGAGTCCTTTCTCCTTTTCTGAAGTTTGTGACAAGACTTTTATCCCAGTAGAGGAAGCAAACATAATTGAGAAATCAAGATAGAGGCCTTATCAAAGTGCCTTTGCAAACATGGCAAGGATTGGGAATAAGTGTGAAATTCTGTATGCCCAAGGGTATGACGTTTGCCTCAGGAAAGCCAAATGTTCAGCTTAAAGGCAGCCAGGTGCATGACACACCCCATCTACCCTTAACATCCTGCCAGGCTAGCTCAGGATTAGATGGTTCTCTGAATGGAGAAGACCTGTTCATCTACTTACTGTTTTGGGTGACTTTAGATATTCTGGGTCAGAGGTGGCAATGTCCAATTTATAAGGAATTGCCTTCAGGGTAGCTCTGGGTATCTAAATACATGATCTATATGTTTATATATGTTTTTAATTTCTCTGTCCCTTTATAGGAGCTAGATTTGACTTCATAAGTGAGAAACTTTTACTTTTCTTTTAAATATCAATGGGCTCTAATTGTTCTGAGATCAGGTTCCTTATCAAAGCACGGGTCACGTTTGTATGGATGCTGATCAATTTCTCAGCCTTCCCACTAGTCACTCTCCAGCAGGCACCCAATAATTTAGCCATTCCAATGGAGTTGTGTCTCCTTCAGTTCCCCGTGCTTATTTCTCGGCTCTTTGCCTATGAATGTTGCATTTATTCTGCCTAATATGAGTATCCTTCTTTTTCTCCTTCCTGGGCAATATCATTGATGTTCCTACAGTATTTTTTTTTTTTTATATATATTTCATCAATTTCCTCACAGCAGTCAAAGTAATCTTGTTATAAATAGAAATTGTGTCATGACACCCCCTGTTTAAACTTACCAGTGACTTTCTATTGCACTTAGAATAAAATCAAACTCTTTACCATGTTCTTCAAGGCCCTCTGTAATCGAGGATCTCCCATCTTTCCTTCCCATGTCATGTGCTCCCAGGCTGCAGTCTCACACACCAGCTTCTGTTTCTAGAGTACACCAGGCTCATTCTAGCTTTAGAGCCTTTGGTACTTCCCTTCGCCTAGAACATTCTTCTTCCGTATGTTCCCAGCCTCAGTTACTTCATGTTGCTCACATCTTAGCTAAAATGTCCCATCCTGAGAGATCCATTCTTTGGCCACTATCTGTAATGCTGCTTACTTTTTCCTGTTACACTTTCTACATGGCACCCATCACTCTTGGAATGACCAAATGTCGGTGGAACATAACTATTAAGCACGTGGGGCCTGGAGCTTGACTTTTTGGCTTTATGCTCTGGCTCAAATAAAAGGCTTCTGCCATCTGATGGACATAGTAGCTGGGGATTAAGGAAGGAGAGAGAGAAGGACTAGGAAAGAGAAAGTACTGAATAGTGAGTCAGAGTGGGAAAATGTGTTCTCAAGCCTCCCCAAATAAGGTGGTCTCAGCAGAGACACCTGGGAAAGGCCATGACCTCTGAATGGAGGCTCCTGGTTAGCAATCTGATGTGTGTAAGAGCATTGCCAGCTGGAGGAGCCTGAATCCCTGACTGCAACTCCTTCCAGAGACCGCAAAGTGATTGATGACTGTGCATGAAGTCTGGAGTTGGGAGGGCAGCTCTCCCTCTCAAGGCCTTCCAGGTAAAGTCTTTGTAACTGCCTATGGTTGAGCCTCAAAGATCACACATAGGATTTTGGCCTGGAGCTGGACTCCTCAGTTATGTAGATACTAGCTCTAGTTGTTATAGTTTTAACTGTTTTCTAATTGTCTCATGCCACCCTTTGGTATTAATTCCATGAAAGCTGGAACTATGTTGATTACATTCACACTTCTATCATTAGGGTCTGGTTTAATGTCTAAGGTTAGTTAAGACTAACAGAAATATACATTGAAAACATAGTTGTACTTATGTATATTTATACAAAAATATTTCCTTTTAATGTAAAAAAATAAAAGTAAAATTTAAAAAACTGAGCAGCAAAGGCATATCTATTTCCAAAGTGTTAAAACACATTATAAAATATCTAGAGGGGGCTGCCCGGGCTAGAGGCGT